CTATTTTTGAATATCTGCAAGAAATTTACAAATACTATGTTAACATTTAAGTACTAGGTACTTGAATGTTATATGAAAAATATAAGTTTTATCTATTAGATACACGAAGTACTAGTCTCTCCAGACTTTCTTTTCAAATAACGGAGATGAGTCTCTTAGATCACACATGGTAACTCTTTTCAGCCTTGCATTATTCCATTTTTTGAAATGGTTTAAACAAAATATCACTATATTGTAGGAATATTTGCACAACTTGTTATATCAGCAGATATACATCTACATTATCCAAGACTTTCTGGAAGTCAGAAATAATTGTTCCTAGTATGATGTTTGAATCATCTTTAGCATCACATTGATGCCTTTACTAGGTATCATGTTCAGGTCTATTGCTAAAAGTAGGTGGTTTAAGAATAGGTCCTTTACGAGTGTATAATTTCCAGTTTCTCAAAACATGAATACATTCATTGAAATTGTATATATTGAATGTTATTTGTTTTTCAGTTCATTAAAGAAATTATGATTCATGGTAATGGGAGTGGATTATATATATCCACCAAATTTAACAAAATTTATTTGCTATTTTCAATATTTAATATTTAATAATTAATACCCTTTTAATTTTTAAAAACATTAATTATCAAAGTCTAGGATCCAAGTTGCAAAACAAATAAATGGTTAGGTGAGCTTTATCCTATTCATTTGAATCCAACTAAATAGATATCGATTATCAATTATATACTAGTAACAGTATTTAATAGACATGTTTGATGACTTTGATCCCATCTATGTCTCAAATCTCTCTTTCTTATGTATCCTTTATCACAAAAGATTTCCGATCAAATCATCCAATTTGAAATCGACCTATAACTTTGTTATAGAAATCACGAATACACCCTGACCATCAAAAGATAACACTAAGTGTTTATTTATCCTTTATCCCGCTAGTACATACAAGAGATGTGCACGTGTTTTTCAAAATTGATTGCATAGATTTGTGGCTTATAAGGGGTATTTCATGTTTTTATAATTCTAGTTTTAAAAAACATATTATATCATGGTTATTACATGCATTCAATAAGCGATGTTATACTTTAAAAAAATCTTATTTTATGTAAAATCATATTTTAACAATGTTGTTTTATAAAACCCGGTTTTATAAAATTGACGTGATCAAATTTTAAAATTAATAGCTAGTATTAATTGTGTTGTTTGAGTGCTTTAGAACATTTGTAAACCTTTTAATGAAAATTCCTTTTATAAAATAACCACCCAATGGTAGTTGACTGCTCATTTTAATGTGTCAAATGTTTCGAGGGAATTAACCACGATACAGTCCTCATGAATTAAACTAACATACACATAGTTTAGGACATATAAATACAACGAACATAAATAGTTTAGGACATGCTTCTCCACCCCAACATAAATACAACGAACATAAATAGTTTAGGACATGCTTCTCCACCCCAACATATTAAAAACCGAAAATAGGGGCCGTAAATACTCACAATGCATTGAGATTATGGAAATGATGCCTTGAACTACATTCCAATTGTACCACTATCGATTCCTATAATGATGTTACACACTAATGAGTCTATAATCGAAATCTAATACTAGTATACTTACTACTACAATAGAATTATGTCAATATTGTGTCAAAATTTAATATTGTTAAGTTACAAACATTTTTTTCCTGAAATTTAGATTTCTATGAATCAATTTGTTGTATAAAAAATTCAAGTGGAAATTCACATTATTGAAATGTTAAAATTTAACATTTTAGGAGGTGTTCAAAATGATTTTTGGATTTATGTGTATTTAATCTTAGGAAAATAGAACAAAAATAGCATACAGAAGAGAAAAGCCATCCAACTTTTTATATAACATCCCAATGTAATAAAAGATGTTCTGGTAAATGTTCATGAATTTTGGATGAGTAAAACAATTTTTCCCTATTTTAGTCCATTATATACCCAAAAATCATGGAAAAATATAAATACATTATGAAAAATCCTTAAAATATTTTTCTGAGTTTTCCACCCGGTATAGAAGCTTTGAAAAATCATATATGGGCTTTTCACATTCTCTATCGTGGTTTTATGATTTATTGGAACTAAACAAAAGCTAATTTAAAAATCCTATCAAACAGTAACCAAAACCGATGAAACTTAATGAGAAGCTTTTATTAATGTTAGGAGCTGTCCACAAATTTATCCAGGATTTATGGACTTTAGAAAGTATTTATTATGAATTATTGCTCTATTTTCTTGCAATAATTATAATAATTCAAGAAAAGTGAATTATTTTCTAAAAATTTCCAGACCTTCTCATCTTTTTGGTGGGATTCTGGAAAAAATCATATTTGGGAAGAAAATGAGTTTTGGGTATCTTTAAGTAAATAAAATCCTTGATGAGCACATTTGAAAGCTTTTAGCAATGAATTTTGAACATCTAACATTTAAAAATCAAAAATCTTCACATGCATGTTGGTTTGATGGCCATGCATGAGTTTGAAATGTTCAAAATTCGTTTATGAAAGAAAACTCATGGTGCATGTAGTGATTTTTCACACAAAACTTGTAGAAAAGTGTATTATATTGATTTTGACTTAGGTTTTGGTCATGGGACTTCACCATCTTGCCATGCATGATGTTTTTGGGTGAAGTCCTACCACCATCACCTCAAAACCATAGGGGTGTGTGTGTGTGTATGTATGTTTATGGGTTCATGATCTTTACAATAGAATGGTGTAGAAGAAGATGAAAGTGTAGGAAACTTTGTAAAACTTGAAAGAAAAGTAAAGGAAAGCAAAGGACTTTCGTGTCTACCTTTTAGAATAACATAAATTGATGAAGATTTTGTGCTTGAGAAGTGTTCTTGGCTGAAGAATTTTCATGGTTTTAGAGAGAGATTTGAGAGAAATGAGTGGATTAGGTGTTAGAGTGTGGAAGATAGTGAAGAGAGGAAGATGGAGTGTGAGGGTGAAGTAAATGCTTGCAATTTTTGGGAATAGGTGCCTTGGAAAGAGGGTGGCCGGTTTTGGGGGAATAAGAGAGGGTTTCCCTCTCTTCCATTTTTATAAAATTCAAATATTTTATATAAATATCAAATTTTTATAAAATATACACCTTAACATAGTTTTTATTCATAAAACCTTGATTTTTGACTTGTAAATTAAGGGTAAATGTTAATGACTTAAATTTTTATTTTCCTTGATTATATTTCCCTGAATTTAATTATTTTAAATTGATATTGTAAGGTTTATAATTATTTTTATATAATTTTTGAGGTTAAATTTTATAAAATTAGGTATTTTGGGTTTTTAGGGTTTTTCGGATTTTGCTAAACTTTGAATATCAAAACAAATTGAATCTTTGAGACTTCAAATTATTTTTGTGTTTCCTAACTCTTATTTAAGTTAGAAATAATGTTTGTAATTTTGTTTTATCGGTTTATTAGCATTATATGTAGTGGTTTCGAGATTAAAGTGAAATTAAGGAATCAAGTATACTAGTCCTAGTTTTCAACTTTGACTTAAGTTCCTACGAGACTCGGACCTAAGTTATATTACTAGGTCAAGTGCATGATATGTCTACATGAAAATAAAAAAAATGCTCGAGTCAAGGAATGACTCGAATGTGGATATCTGTTACAGTTAAGTAGTTGTCGAATTCACATATAAATGTGAAATCTAAGTACGGTATCCTTCGATTCCACTTGTTTCCAAGTTTCTAGTAGGTTATAACTTAGCTTCTAGTTACAAAGTCTAGTATGTTTCGTGCCTATATGTGCAACTAAGTTTATTCAAATCTAGAACTGTCTCAAATTTTGACGGTTGTCACACTTTTTGATCTTCAAAATTGGCTTCATCTTCATTTCTTGTTATATTTTTGTACAAAATAAATTATTTCTAAAACTAATATGTTACTTACAAAAATAAACAAATTGAAAACGCATCTATTTAATTATTACATATCATATGAATAAATAAATTATTACAACTATTTTTAAACAAATCAACACAAACAATAACATAAGGGTCCCTGACTAGTTGATGTGTATTTAATGTGTATATGTATTTATTCAAGTTTCAATTTTATAAAACTAATGTTTCTTTCACTAGACCATTAAACACACTAGGCAGTGTACCTAATCGTGTAATAGTATAGTTATGGTAAGAACAAGTGTCGAACTCAAGGAACGGTGTAATAGTTGACTTTATTCTACCACTTAACTAATTACTAATGAAATTAGAAAAGGTTTTGTTTTTCTAGCTTTACAAGACTAGAAACTTAAAGTACCAAAGTAACTAATTATCAATTAATTAAGTTAACACTAACTAAGACAAGAGAACAACGATGAATTAACCAAGGTGAGTAAGAGACTTTTGTTTAGCTTCATATTTACTTGTCATTATGGTTGATTTATGGAAGTGCAATGGATTTTAGTTTCTTTGGTTACCAATATCTAAGATGACCAAATTAATATTCACTAATTTAATCCTTTAGCAAACTAGCTTATTTATTCGGTGATCAAGCAGACAAACTTACAAGTTTACTAGTGTTCGGTTCGTATTGATTAGACTTATAATCGATTGATCAATTTAGTTTATTGATTCAATTCAATATATGATTTGTCGTCATATATTAGCTCCTATACATTTTTACCCACTCTTCTACTTAACCCTAGGTTTTGTTCAAAACTCTAGTCCTACAATTTTGCAATTCACAAGATCATAAGATTCAAATTCAACAAAGAAAGATAGTCATACTAACTTAATCAAATTCAGCAATAAGTAGAGAAAATAGTTATCCAAAATACTTGAGGTTTTTTAATAAGCAAAATCAACAAATAACCAAATAGCTAAATCCAATCCATAAATTCAACCACAAATAATCAATCCATCCTAGGCTAAACGAAAGTCATGAGAATTTAGCTCATGATTTCAGCAAACAAGTATATAAAATCGAAACTCAAAGTAATTGAGATGGAAAAATCTAATGAAAAGTCGAAGTGTAAAGATTTGTTTCCTTAGTGCTCCTACCTCTAATGGTATGATCGAATTCCTTGCTTCCAAGCCTTGGAAAAGGTGCTTTGCCTTCAAAAGTAATGATTACTTCCAGAGCCAAAGGTTCCAATCCAGAGGAGAATGAGATCTATTTATAGTTTTCTCGAATTCAGAGCACCATGACGTGGTAAGGCCACCACGTCGTGGTCTTCGTGTTTATCCCGTGTTCTTCAAGTCTTCGAAGCAAATCGGGATTCTTCACTTCACCACGCCGTGGGAAATCCACCACGACGTGTTGGGTATTTTTTCTTCATTTTAAAGATTTGATTCAAACTCCCAACTCCCAGGTCCAACTTCTAGATTCCAGCTTCCTTTTTGCTCCAAGCATGTCTTTTATCCCTACAACACAATTCATAACAAATTAAGTATCTTTTGTTCTAATAAGGGCATAAAAGTAATTAAAATGTTAAGGTATGATGTATAATTATATGTATAAATATGCACATATCAAAATACCCTACACTTATTCTTTGCTTGCCCCCAAGCAAATTGATTTCTTATTTTACCAGCAAAGTACAAAACAATCAATTTCAAATCCAACCATTATCCCAAGACCTCAATGCATGTATTTGTGTTTATAATTCCTAAGAACTTCCCACTCCTAAATACTCACAATCCTTATGAACCTTCGCCCCTTAGCTTATATGACCCTCATTTTTGCAACCCTCCGAATCAATCCTCAGAAATCTTGCTTACCCTTAAGGTATTTTTGGCTAAACAACCAAGCGTACATAAATTCTAGAAATTACAACTTTGATACCACAATGGAGCTCTTTGAATTCTTTATTTTCTTTGTATATTTGATCTTTGATTTCTTTGAATTCACCACCTTTTTTGTTTGATTTTGGTATCTTCAACTTTTGGGTTTCTTTAGAATTTTGATCTTTGAATTTCATAATTTGACTGCTCCAAAACTCTAAATTTTTTTGGTAATTTCTCTCTTTTTTTCACATGTATCTTACTCTTTTCTTATCACTCAAATCCTACATGCTTAAGCAAGGAGCTTATCTTCAACCTTTATTGGTTAAGGTATTAGTCTAAGTGCAATGACTAACTAAGCTTTCCTGGATAGATTTCAGGTTTAGGCTGCAGAACGTATTATGCCATATAAGCTACCAGATTACCTTTCATACCTCATGACTTTTCACTAGGAAATGAGAAGCCACAAATACATTTTAACATGTGTTGGCTCAGGTAAACATTTGGGTTCTCATCGGATCCTCCCATACTATACTAGCAAAAATTTTAATGAGCTAAGTTTCCTAAGTTAAACTATTATTTCAAGTCTATATGAATGCAGATTCTGAAACTAGCAATGCAAAAATTTAAAAATCAAATGCTTTTTCCTATGCAATATAATATACCCCCTACCCCGCACTTATTTCATGCAATGCCCTCATTGCATGTTATGAAAAACATAAAATTAAAAAGAGGGAGAAAAAGAAACAGACTCCCCTAGGGTAGAAGATGCATCTCGAATCGTGTAGAAATGTGTAGAAAAACCAGGTTGCTTGAAAGTGTGAAACGGAATTGGAAAGTATAATGTCAGCCTCCTTATTCAATGAACAACTCCCCCACGACATAGGAAAGTGTCAACCATGTCGTGGCAGCCAAGATAATACTTCTTTATCGTGTTAAAATAATTCCATGGTGTGGGAGCAGCTCATCCATACCATGAGAATGAATATAAAATTAGAAACGCCACTATTGAACACCTAGACTTCTGAAAGTACGGGATCAGACTCAAAAAAACGGACTCGAAAAGCACCACCTCGTGGTGGACCAAACATATTGCGATTATGATATTTTGATTGCGACAACACAACGTGGTGGAGATTACCATGATGTGGTGGTCTTGAAAAGCAATAAATTGTGCCGGAATCAACTGGTTTATGGAATATTTGTAGCACCAACTAATGTATGAAGCTGTTAGGCGTGACTTCTCACTTATTGACGCAACACAAACACCCTCAAAATTGCTCAAAGCTCGCTTCTCTCGTCGTTTCTAATCTTTCTCTATAAAGCTCCTTCTTTTGCCAATAATACCCTTTCTCGGATTCGAAAAATAACACCTGGAAATCTAAAGCAAAGAAAAATAATGAAAGTAGGAAACATTGTCAAACAACAAAACCAAAAAGAAATAAGTATCCAAACAACCACACCAAAGAAACTAAACACACAAAAATAAAAGACATAAAATAAAAAAAGTCTTCAATCCACTAAAACAAAAGGATAGATCTCTCAATCTTCGTCAATTCCATCATCACCTCCTCTTCCACTACCGCCCGCTCCATCTCGTTGCTCTCTCCACAATTCCTCCCAACTCGGCGCGTATGGGTAAACAGGAGGAAAATGAGTAGGTCGGGTTACATGCATTTGCTCCATAAGATGATCTAGGCTCATGTTGGTGCAGTTGGCACTCCTTGCCAAATTATCATCAAACCCCCTCCTTGCAATGCTATAGGGATCCATGGGCAGCTCGTCATCGATTGGTACAACTGGTGGTTCATCTGCTTCAGGCTCCCTTCCTCTTTTCCTTACCTGCCTCGGAGCTTGGCCTCGTGGAGTGTCATCAGGAATGGAAAAATGGCCCATCCCATGGTCAACAACAATATTTGCCCTCTTATAAAGTAGTGTAGAGAAAGGCTTCTGGGGCTCCACAGTCAAGAGGACGGCGTCAAGTTTTTCAAGTACTCCAAATGAACGCGCTAGCCGGGTAATCAACATACCCCCATAAAGAGAAGGCCCTCGTCTATCCTTGCTTGCACGGACTGCGAGAAAAATCCGCCAAAAGAAATGGTAAGTCCACATAAACATTGGAGGATATAAGAGCCCATAAGAAAAATACGTTTATAGTCGGACACTTGTCCCCATCTTGTCTCTGATTAATGGTGTTTGTGATGAAGCGATGCAAAAGATGATGAATAGGAGAGCAAATGTCACTTTCTTGCACAGTCCCCTTATCGTAAGCACCATTTGCTATTTCATTCCAATGTGCTTCCGCTCTGAACCCCTCGATAATCGGCACATATTTAGCAATATATTGTTGATAGGGTTCAGAATGTGCCTTGGCCGGAAGATAAATCTCCGTCCTTATCGCAAAATCAGCAAGGCTTAAAGTACGCCTTTCTCCGCCAGGGCAAAAAGAAAGGTTGTCCTTAGCAAAAATACCATGCTTCCGTGCAAAAGAAATCATGGCCAGAAACTCGATGACTAATTCCTTGTACTCGACTTCCTGAATTTCAAAGAGCCGTCTCCACCCCATACAAACAACTTTCCCATGAATGCTATTAAACGCTTTATCCAAGTATGGCTCAATTCCCTCCATTAATCCAGTTTGTCCAATCCAATGCCAATCCACAACCGCAGGAACATGGACTTTTCGCTGCTTCATTCAGGCAAGCTTTGCATTTTATCTTGCGTGAATCTCAGGCCCAACAGTCCTAGGAAAAGAATACCACGAAAAATCGGGGCGACTCCCGGGTTGGTGGCGTCGTGCACGGCTAGCCATTTCTGCAAAATAACCAAAAAGAACACAAGAGGAAACCATATGCATAAATGGGATTAGAACAAAACATAGTTGGGCTAAAAAATTGTTGCCACGTCCAGGACCACGACGAGTCGTCGTGGTCGACGAACTGACAGGATTTGTGTGTTTCATCGGGCCATAATCCACACCATTCCAACTCCATTCAACTTCAGGTTTTGTTCTAGGCATGAATTCGAGTAGGAAGGTAACAAAATTAAATGAAAAACATCATTAATCGGGTCCAATTTTTGCAAAAATCGGAACCCTAGGTTCTTAATGTCGGCCCTAAATGTGTTCTAATCAGCAAATGTATACCCTATACTAGCATAATAAGTGATTAAGAGTAAAAGAAATCACACAAAAATCATACCTTTTAGTTGAAAAACGCAAGAAATCGGAGGAAGAAAAGGGATGTTCTTCGTGGGGAAGGAAGTCACGGCGAGAGAGAGGCGGAGTAAAAATGAGAAAATGGGTTTGACTGAGGTTTAAAAACCCTAATTTTGACTGCCGTTAAATCGTTACCATGTCGTGGTGTCGCTAGAAAAAATGTCAGTCGGGTTCTGAAACGTTCGCCACCTCGTGGTGAATTAAAAACAATTTATATTTGTCAAAATCTTATAAAAGTATCCACCCCACACTCGTTTGATGCCATTACCCACGTTGAATTCCATAGAAATTTTGAAGAATGAGAGAGTAAATCATAAAGCAAAATAAAACAAAATAAAATAAAATAAAATAAAAGGAAAGAAAAATGCAAACTCAAAATCACAGGTTGCCTCCTACAAGCGCTTCTTTTTGGGGAGTCATAAGCCGGACTTTTTCCCGCTTCACGTTGTTTTAGCTCGTGTGAATTTGACGATTTCCCTCTCTTTTTCTTCAATTGGCATTCCTTCTTCATAATGCTTCACTCTATGTCCATTAACTTTGAAAGGGGTTCCATCTCTTGATATAAGCTCAATAGCTCCATTCGGGAAAACTTGTTTAACAATGAATGACCCGTCCCACCTAGTTTGTAGTTTTCCCGGGAAAAGCTTTAAACTTGAATTGAAGAATAGCACCTTTTGTCCTTCATGAAAATCCTTATGACCTTTTAGTCTCATGTCATGCCATTTCTTAGTCTTGTCCTTATATATTAATGAACTAGTGTATGCTTCATTTCTAAGTTCCTCAAGGGCATTCATTTGCATCAATCGGTTGGTATGAAGTTCAGTTAGTTCAAAATTACATATCTTCAAAGCCCAAAATGCTTTATGCTCGATTTCAACCGGCAAGTGGAAATTATTTCCATAAACCAACCTATATCGTGTAGTACCAATACGTGTTTTAAAAGCCGTTCGAAATGCCCAAAGTGCATCATCAAGCTTATCCGGCCACTCTTTTTTATTACTTCCAACCAATCGCTCCAATGTTCGTTTTAATGTCCGGTTTGTAACTTCGGTTTGCCCACTTGTTTGTGGATGGTATGATGTTGAAAATCTATGGTGTACACCATATTTTTGTAACACCTTAGCCAATTGATCATTCACAAAGTGGGTTCCCTGATCACTAATTAGAGCCTTAGGAACACCAAATCTTGAAAACAACTTCTTAAGGAAACGCACCACCACACGAGCATCATTACAAGGTAATGCTTGTGCTTCCGCCCATTTAGATACATAATCTACCACCACCAATATATATTTCTTTCCTTTGGACATTGGGAAAGGTCCCATAAAGTCAATCCCCGATATATCAAATATCTCACAAACTTGAATGCTATTTTGGGGCATCTCGTTTCGGGATGAAATATTTCCCGACCTTTGGCATGAATCGCACTCCTTAACATATTGAGCGACATCTTTAAAAACTGTAGGCCAATAAAAACCCGTATCAAAAATATTTTTAGCTGTATATTGTGCTCCATGATATCCTCCGGTGGGCCCGCTATGGCAATGCTTCAAGATTTCTCGACTCTCCTTCCCGAATCTACATCTTCTTATCATACCGCCCGCGCAGCTTCGAAAGAGGTATGGTTCATCCCAAAAGTAATACTTGATTTCTAAAAATAATTTCTTCTTTTGTTATTTGGTTAAATCATTTGGAATGTATTCACTTGCTAAGTAGTTGGCTATGTCTGCATACCAAGGTATTTCTCCTGCTATAACCATAAGATATTCTTCAGGAAAATAATCTCCATTCTTGTTTTCTTTTAATTCTTCCTAGTGCGGGTTCTCTAGTCGCAATAAGTGATCAGCTGCTACGTTTTCCATTCCCTTTTTGTCTCTAATCTCAATGTCAAATTCTTGTAAAAGTAACACCCAACGTATTAGTCTTGGTTTAGCATCTTGTTTAGCAAAGAGATACTTAAGGGCAGAATGGTCGGTAAATACAATTGTCTTCGACAAAACTAGATATGGGCGGAATTTATCAAAAGCATAAACCACCACGAGCAACTCCTTCTCGGTAGTAGTGTAGTTTCTTGAGTTGGGTTTACGGTTTTGCTTGCATAGTAGATAGGTTGAAAATGTTTGTCAATTCTTTGTCTCAAAACAGCTCCCACCGCATAGTCGCTAGCATCACACATAAGCTCAAAAGGAAGAATCCAATTTGGGGCTATCATAATAGGGGTAGTAGTCAACCTTTCCTTTAACAATTGAAATGCTTCATGAAATTCCTTAGAAAAGTCAAATGGGGCATCCTTCAAAAGAATTTGAGTCAAGGGTCTCGTGATCTTTGAAAAGTCTTTAATGAAACGGCGGTAAAATCCTACATGGCCTAGAAAGCTCCGTACCCCTTTTACATTTTTTGGGGTGGTAGTTTAGCTATTCTGTCAACTTTTGCTCTATCTACCTCTATCCCCAACCTTGAGACTTTGTGTCCTAACACAATCCATTCCTTTACAATGAAGTGGAACTTCTCCCAATTTAGGACTAGGTTGGTCTTCTCACATCTTGCTAACATTAGGTCTAAGTTGGATAAACAATCTTCAAAAGAGGACCCAAAAACCAAGAAGTCATCCATGAAAACCTCCATAAATTTCTCGATCATGTCGTGGAAGATAGCCATCATGCATCTTTGGAATGTAGCTGGTGCATTGCATAACCCAAAAGGCATGCGTTTGTATGCAAATGTCCCACTTGGGCAAGTAAATGTGGTATTTTCTTGGTCTTGTGGGTCAATTGGAATTCGGAAGTACCCCGAGAAACCATCAAGGAAACAATAGTAGAGATGACCGGATAGTCTTTCAAGCATTTGATCGATAAATGGTAGCGGAAAGTGATCCTTGCAAGTAGCATCATTAAGCTTTCGATAGTCGATGCAAACGCGCCACCCGGTTACTGTTCTTGTTGGGATTAACTTGTTATCTTCATTGGTAACCACCATCATTCCTCCCTTCTTTGGTACCATGTGTACCGGATTTACCCATGGGCTATCGGAGATTGAGTAAATGATCCGACATCTAAAAGTTTAACCACCTCCTTTTTAACTACTTCTTGCATATTTAGGTTAAGTCTTCTTTGGCGTTGTACTATAGGCTTAATTACTTCTTCTAGGTTGATCTTATGAGAACAATAGGCTGGACTAATCCCCTTGATGTCGGTTATCTTCCATGCTATGGCACATTGTCTTTTCTTTAGTACTTCCACGAGGCTTTCTTTTTCATTTTTTGCTAGATCGGATGCTATAATTACTGGTTTTTGTTGCCCTTCTTCCAAGAATGCATACTCCAGGTGCTCGTGTAAGGCTTTAAGCTTAACTTTTGGTTTTTCATCAGTCATCACGACGTGGGCTTCCTGCCACGTCGTGGTATCGCAACTTTTAATGTCAGATCGCGAAAAAAATGTTGACCACGATGTGTTGATATCACCACGTCGTGTTGCCTCTTCTGCCTCTTTCAAGACTTCATTGTAATCACTTTCTTCCAATAGCTTCTCCAATTCTTGTAAATCAAGTTCAACATCAAAATTACCCTCTTCAAGCACCATAAATCCCTCGGTTTCTTTTTCTTTCCAACCTCCTAGTTCTTTTTCAAGTAGTTCATCAAGCACATCGACATAAAAAGCTGTATCGTTACTTATTTTTGAATGTTGGATTGCCCTATTAAATCCAAAAGTGACCGCTTCTTCTCCTACTCGGAAAGTGAGTTTGGATTCTCTAATATCAACTAAGGCTCGGGCGGTGCTCAAGAAAGGCCTTCCCAGGATGATTGGGACTTGTCCGTCTTCTTCCATATCTAATACGATGAAATCCACGGGAAAAACAAACTTATCAACTTTTACAAGCAAGTCTTCACATATACCCCTTGGAAAGGTCATGCTCTTATTGGCTAAATGTATGACCATGCGGACCGGTCTTGGTTCGGGGAGATCAATCTTCTTGAAAAACGAATAGGGCATCAAATTAACACTAGCTCCCGAGTTGACTAGAGCATGACTAGTTGCTAGATTCCCGAATTGGCATGGTAAGGTTATGCTTCCTAGATCCCCCATCTTCTTTGGTAACATGTTTAGCATTGCAACGGAGCAAGTTTCATTCAATACAACTTTTGATAATCCTTCCATTTTCTTGCGGTTTGTTAAAAGGTCCTTGATAAACTTGGCATATTTTGGCATTTCGGCTAAAGCCTCAACGAAAGGAATATTTATTTCAAGAGACTCTATGTGATCTAAGAACCTCTAATAATCTTCAACATGCTTCACTTGAATTGCTCTACTTGGGACTGCAAATGGTGGACGGTATGGCTTTACAGGTTCAACAATTTTCTTTTCAGGCTCTTGCCACGTCGAGGCATTTGTACCACGTCGTGGTGACTGTTCAGGTCCTTGTCCTTGACTTTCTTCTTGAACTTCCTTCTCCACATCCGGGTTGTTTCTGTCTATGGGCGTTAAATGAGTAATAATTTTCCCACTTCTAGTAGTAATGGATTGGATGTGAGCTCCTCTTGGGTTTTGTTCGGTGTTCCCTGGAAGTCCACCCGTAGGTCTTTCATTGAATTGCTTAGCTAGTTGCCCGAGTTGTTGTTCTATGTTGAGGATTGAAGCTTGTTGATTTCTAAATAGTGCTTGCTGGTTTTTCATCATCTCTTATTGTTCCTTCATCATTACTTGTTGATCTTTCATCATTATTTGTTGTTCTTTAATTGTTGCTTCAGTTCCCTCGTGCCCTTTTCCAGATGCGACTGCAAATCGGGTAAGCATTGTCTCAAAATC